TAAATTTCTTAAATTATATGGATTAAGACTTAAATAATGTTAAATAAGAAAAAAAAAATCACAAAAAAGTCATAAAAAATCGCATTGCAATTTATTTGAATTACCTTGATCGTTTTTTTTTTATTATTCGTCATACTTGTACTCAAAAAAAATTGACAATTAAAATTAATGACAAAAACTGCTTGTTTTGATAACTTGTTAAAACTTTAAATTGTGGCTATATTCTTACCCTTTTAAGTAGTTGACAGAAATTTTGCCATTTTGAGTAATTATATTGAATTTAAATGAAAAATATAGATAAAAAACAAAAATCATTAATTTTTAATAAAAATATTTTAATTTAATAGATTTCTATTCAACAAAATAGATATTTTCGGCATAATAACTAATACCAAAATTCAAAAATAACAATGGTCGCCCTAAGTGACATTTATTAAAATACTCATTAAGTTAAAATACGAATTTTGAATCTTTAGAGACATGTGTATGTATATTAGAGAAGACTTATGCAGAAATTTTTCAAGGCCTCAAAAAGCTATGGCCATTTTAGATAATTATGACCAGAGAATTTTAACAATATTATAGAAATGAGTAAAAGCCAGGGGATAAGTTTCACTAATATTTTGTAATTATAATCACTAATTTGTAAGATTAACCGAATCGAGAAAGATTTTTTAAAAGGATTTTCATTCAGGTAACAAGCACGTAAGATCCAAGCCAGTCTCCGTTCGTTATTATTCCAAAAACACAAACTATGTATACTACTTACATATTTATAAAAAATCAATATTAAATTGATCCCTTCTAACATTCTTTTACGTTAATCTCTATATTCTTAATTTATTCAAAATCAGCTCATTTAATCATATAAAATTATTTAGTCATTTTTCAAACAAAAAATTCTAAAACATTTAACTTGCGCACAAATATTGTAACCTTTAAAAGTCATGTTACTTATATCATAGATAAAGTCTCATTTTATAAATTAAAATTAATAAATTCAATAATGTTTTTTTTAATATTAATATTCATTACAAATCGATTAATGTAATATTAATTGGATACCTTTAGTTAATAAAAATAAATTTAAGAATTTAATTTTAGAAAATTGGTGTTTCTTTTTTCAAAAAAGCAGATATAATAATAATCAATTGATAGCATATATAACTATACATAAGTATATTATGTTAGTGTAATTGAACTATCGAAATGCCAAACGTATGTACAATAAACTGAATGAAATGTTATCATGTTCTCAATTGCAATTGCAACTTCATTCCAAATTTTTTATAGTATGTGTTCTACTGCAGATTAATCAATATTTCAAGGTATTTTAAATTACATTAATAAACGTAATTGTCATCCAAACATGCAATTAAATACATTAAATTTATGTATACAAGTTATTTAGTAGAAAAATTCAAATTTTAAGCCTTGTGCATTATTATGATAATTAAGAAAATATATAAAATATTTTGGATTTTGTTATTGTTGATGAAGATGATATTAATTAGTATTAAAGTTTAAAGATCAATAATTTTTATCAACATAAAAAAAAAAAATAAATTTGTAACCTCAAAAAATATATTTTGAAAATTGCAATTATTACATATTTAAATGTCAAAATATTAACTTCAACAAAGTAAAATATTCGTATGCATTTTAATATTGTACTTTGACATCGCGAATCTTTGACAGATTGAATAATAACCTAGTAAACTAAATTTTATTTTAAAAAATTTCAATAATATTAAAAATATATTTCTAAAATGCTGTGATGGCAGTACAAACAAATTTTTTTTTTAAGTTTTAAAGGATTGAACAGTTTCTGCATGGAAGTTCGCGCAAGATTTTAAGATTTTTCAAAAAATGTTCATAATTTTAATGAATAGACGACTGTGCCTATATTCATACCATTAATAATTGCATTGCAGCACCACCATGTAATATTGCAGAAAATATTCTCTGTACATTAACCTAATTTTAAATTCAATAGTTGTTTCTAATCAAATAATATTCTAATTGGTTTCACAGTACAATAAATTATCAAACTTACAAATTATTATGATTATCATATTATTGAGTTTTCTTTGCATAATTGTACATTATATAAAATTGTAATAATTAATCAATCGAGACCAATTAGCTTCCTAGGTGTTCTCTATAAATTTATAAAATTAAAAATCTTAATTTGAAATTTACGCAAAATACATAATACATTTTTTCAAGTTATTTAATACTTAATTATAATTTCAAAATAAAGTATAAAAAAAAAATAAAGTTGGGTCAAACCAATGGTTTGTATTGTAGCACTTTTCCCTTCAACAAGTGAAAATTCTCCTTTTAAATACAGTCTATGTATAGCTATCACACTATTAAAATTATTTTCATTCATATACAAAACTATTTTTAGGATTGCATATATTTAGGATGATACATACATGCAGTCTTTGAAATAAAGCAAAAATTAAAATAAAGAGGGGTTAACATAATGCTCGATTTTAAGGGTTAATTTAGAAATTTGAAAAAGCTTGCGGTTTCGGAAATATAAGGTGTCAAAAATTCAAATTTTACAAAATTCAAGAGGCGATAACTTGAGAGGGGGTGGAGATGGGAAAAAATTTTCTTCTAACGAAATAAACTATTTGTTAATGTCTAAAAGCTCCTAAAATTTCAGGCTCTTACAGGCTGGGGTCTAGAAGAAAAACGACATAAAAACTTTTGGAAAAAAAGGACTTTAGATAACGGTAAATTTGAACGGCCATTTTGTTTTTCTAAAGTTTAACTATAGTATACTGTGCTAGGGGAAGTAAGCCGCTGCGTTTCTGCGTTTGCAGAATTTCAAAAATGCTTATGGTTTCTTTGCAACAAATAGTTAAAAAAAGCCATTTTTAGGGTTTTGGGGGGGTATAGCTTCTAGAGGGGGGGAGATAGGTAAAAATTTTGTTCTACGGAAATAAGTTTCTAGTAAAGATCTATGCACATACAAAATTTCAGCTTTCTATCTTCAAGGGTGTAAAAGTTTTGTAAACAAAAAAAGTGTCCACGGACGGACGGACGGACGGACGGACGGACGGACTGACGGACGGACGAACGGACGGACGGACGGACGGACAGAGTGAAACTAATAAGCACTTTTTTCAAAAAATTTTTGGAAAAGTGCTAACAATTTACTTAATTAACCTAAATTAGTGAAAAAATTTTCATTATTTTCGATTAATACACACTAAAATTAGGTGATAATCATAAAGATGTTAAAAAAAAACCTTTTGAAATTTGTTCATTAAAAAAGCCAGCAAACAGTTAAAATTTATGATTTAAAACGTAGTTTAAATAAACATTAAAATTTGCATCTTTCTATATAACAGAAATAAGAAAATTAAGTTTTTGACCGCCATTAGTCATTTCATTTTATGCACACATGCGTGTGTGTATGTGAATGGATTCATACAACAAATAAATGCCGCTGTTTATCTTATCTTACTAATTAGTATAAAGTCGAGTAGGTATATTTTAACTTTTATATAAATAATATAGAGAGTGCTTCGTACAGAATATAATCGTCCTGAAATTTTATGAAAATCATTGACAATCTTCCGGAAATTTCATTATTTTCAACATGAATTCTTGGTTCCAGTATTATATGAAATAATATGCATAATTGATCTGTCCAAATAAATAGAAATATCAAAAATGAAACTCAATTTCTTATTATGGTTGTTATGCTTCCAGTGCCCTTAATAGGGAACACTCTGTTTATAAGTTAAGTATTTTGTGTACACAAATATTTCGCATCTTCTTCATTAGAAATCTCATTATTTTTTTCTTCTTTAGTAAAATATTGTAGTTCAATAATTTAAAATACCGAAAAAGTTTTATTAGTTCACACAGTGTATGTAAGAAATTATTTCGTTTATAATATCTTAATAATAATAATATTAGTTATTGTAAACGTTTGAAGTTTCTTTAACTATAGCTATGAAGAACAATATTCGATTTACAGGCATTTTGAAAGAATTCTGAATATTTTTTGATAAAATTTTCTAGGTAACAAAATTTTACCAAAAAAGAATAAGTCATTTTAAAAAAGCTGTCTGGTTCAAGATCAATTCAATAGTATATGGAAATGGAATTATTGTATTAAAAAGGTTCTACTACTTGTGGAAGTAAAACACATCCAAAACTACGTTACTTACTACAACGAATATCCTATGAGACTAATTTAATTAATACTTTAATATTTTTCGAAATTTTATACCATTATTTAATTTAAATTAAAATTTTACAAAACTATTTCAAAAAAACTTTTAGTTTCCTTTGATTATGGTTAAAGTAAAAGCAATTAAACTAACTGTTTAAAATATAGGTTATATAATCAGGTTTATATACGCACTTACATACTATGTACGTTCATATATTGTTAATCCAAATAAATTAAGGTCAAAGATATTGCATAATTTTTAAGAGTTTTTCCTTTAATACCAGTATGTTGTTATAGACTAAGTATATTGTTATATAAATTAATTTAGTTGAATAAGAAACATTAAAACCACAGCAAAAAAATTCAAAACAAGGCTACACACCTTTTTATATAAAAACAAAAATTCTGAAAATCAATGAATTTTGTTAACAATTCAATGTTTTAATATCGGTTCATCGGAAGGACAACGGGACAAATAAATGAATTGTTGTTTTTTTTGTTACTCTGTTTGGAATATAAGATTATTTTTATACGACAACGTTATTGAGGTGCTAAAACGGAATTTCCACTTTACATAAAAACAGTTTCACTTTTCACATGCCTTTTTTAAAAAAAAAAAAAAATATTTTAAAACATGTGCACATTTTACTTATATACCCACGTAATATTTTATTGTTTTTAGTTTTTATATTTTTAATACAAGAATTTTAAGGTTACCATCATTTTAATGCGAATTTTATTTGATAATTAAGAAATCTTTAATTTAACTTTTCGATTATTTGAAAACGCAATTCTCTATATGTACGCCACTTTGGCTGAGATTAGACAACAAGGCCAACTATCATGTTTTATTATGGATTTGGTGATTATAGGTACTTGTTAATTATGATTAGGCTTTGTTCATATAAATGTGATTACTTCGTGATCTTGTATCCTCTTTTAATGTTAATATATTACACAGTATTGGGCATCTTCCCAAATAATTGTTGGAAAAATGTGATGACTTATTTGAGCCTATTTGTCGGTCATGACAAAATTTCTTTGACGCACAGGATAGCTTATATGCTTTGTCAAAATTCTTTTTAAACTAAATTTATTTACCAGGAATTTTTAAATTCTGAAATCGAATTCAGATTTCCTCCTATATGACAAAACACTACAAAATAAAATATCAAGCTGTTTTGGTTATTAACTCTTGACTTATTATTGGCAAACCTTATTACTAAATTTCTTTATGTACCTGTGTATTACGTTACAAGCATAATACGAACGAAATAATTGGCAAGCTTTTTTTAGAATTAATAAAAAACGACAGTGAAGGATATACTTTCACAAAAGGTACCCCAATTTATTAATAAAATATTATTGAAAAAGAAACAATAAATTGCCGTTCCACGTTTATGTATAGTTGTGTGTACCATAGTGTATGTATATTGTTCTGATTAAAAATGGAGCAGATTTTAAAAATTTCAAGGTTTTAAGTGAAATGTAATTTATTTAAGGCAGCTGCTGCTTAAATTTTTAACAATCTAAAAAAAATATCAAAAAAAAATTTAAAAAAAATTTACCACAATTTCAGTATGTTTTAATATTATCAAGTCATTTGTCTTTTTCAGTTCAGCGTCATCTTTGAAGTTGACATTTACCAAAAATAAAATATTTATTGTGAAACCGCAATCAGATTAACGCAACTAAATAATACCGCCGAACTTTATACACAAAAAAAATGTTTGAGGAAAAAATTGTTGACATGCGGAAGAACTTTTCAATTATTCACTCCATGTAATTTCAATTATTAAAAATCGACAATAAAATTGTCTCCCACTATTTGAAAAGTAAAACGATTTGCCGTCTTGTTTAATTTTCTTTTTGTTTTTTATTCATCATTAAATTTTTGTGTTCAATTTATTGTAACATATCATAACAGTTTATTTTGGTTACGGTTTTGTGAATTTAATGACAATCAGCTTGCTATTATTAAAAAAATAATTGAATGTATAAAATTTTACGAAGATAATTTTAAAAGTTTTTGAATTTTCATCTCCGTCACTCTTAAACATTATAAGTTGGAGTATGTGTGACATTTACTCAACTCATCCATGCCATATGTAACTTTGCGGTTTTAAAATCGAAACGAAAAATTTTGTACTAGAATCGAAGTGTCAAAAATTAAAAACTTTTCCTGTAAATTATGGAATAAATTTTCAAAAAATGTAATGGTACTTCAATTGAAATTACAACTGCCACTCGCATATATTCAAATTTTTTTAGATAAAAATAGCAGTCACTGAATTTTTGACAATGACTTCAATAAATCAATAAAATTTCTGATGTTCCTCCGTATGACAAGTGGCTTTAGTTAAAAACATAATACTTAACGTATAGACATGTAATAACTTTAAATTATATAATAATTTGAATTTTCAATACGAGAAGAGTTTAATGCCTAACTGAATTTATACCAGAAATATTTATGTACATACATATGTATTCTATTATATTTGAGGAAGACATTATTTTTGTTATCATAAACTAATATCTGATATATATTATATTATAAATAATAACTCTTATATAATAATATAGACAATATTGAAAATGAATGAATGAATTGATCATTTATAAACAAAAGTACTAGAAATCAATGGAAGAAGAAGAAGAAGAAACCATGTTATTACCCCGAAAAAGTCACATAACAATCAATCTCCCTTTACAATATCATTATTTGTTTATTGAATCGTTTCTAATATAAAAATATATTACAATGGGATTGCACAAAATTTCTTTAGTAGACTTGAAACAATCGACATCAATTGACCATCATTAAAAAAAAATTTAGAAATCGATTTTAATAAAAATTTTCGATTTTGTGTTAAATTTAAAACTATACACAAAAATATTTATAATAAAATAAAAATGTTAAAAAATTTTAGTTATTTCATAAGTGCATTAATATTTTTTTTTAATTTATTTGAAAATATTTTAATAATTAAATCATATACAACATATCCCAAATATACATTAACAAAATTTCATTCTGATCCAAATTATATACGTGTAATGACCGTCTATAAAAGTACAAAAACAAAAATACCACAGGATCAATTAAAAACAATTGCAATTATTGGACTTATCAATGGTGCTGTTGAAACTGAAAAAAAATTAGAAAAATATTTAACTGATAAGGTGGCCGATTTAGTACTAAATAATGTTAATCTTCATGAAGATGATAAAAAATTACGAATTGAAGAATTAGAAAGAATTATTGAAAGAGATCGTTATGCTATTAAAATTTTAGGTATTGTATTGGATTATGCAACTCATACAATATCAAGTACAGAATATAGAAATCAATTAAAAAAATTAATGAGAGAACATGCACGTAGTCAAAAAAATATTAAAAGAAAATTAATAATTGATGACAATGTAAATGATAGAATGACAGATTTGAAAAGAAAAATTCTAGATCATGTTGAATCAATGAAAAATACAATACAGGATAAAACAAATAAAACGATGTTATATTTAAAAACATTATCACATCTAAAAGATTTCAAAATTCAAAGAAATGATATTGTAAGAAATTTTACAAATTTTGACGAATCGGAAAATGTAAATAAATCTGTTGTAAAGGTGAGTTATAAAAGTGTTATAAAAGTAATTCTCAAAGTGATTTCTGCTGTGATCCGTATGAAAATTACAATATGAAGAGAAATTAATTATAGTTAATTACAGAAAGTAATATAAAAGTTAATTATAGAAAGTATAGAAAAATTCAAAAATTGATGCGACCGTTAGACCGTGTCTGTCGCTTAGAAACTATGGTATTTTCCTAACATACTGATTTAATTTGTAATATAATATCTGAGATTCTTGGACAAATCTATTCAAAACAGCTAAATATTCTAACAAACTAAATATTCAAAAATTCATAATAGATTTTTAAATGAATGTTAACAACACTCGAGTGAGAAAAACACTCATGCTGTTGAAAGCATGAGTATTTTTGGTAATGCATGACGCATTAGATCCTATATTATTTTGCTTCATCAGATACTTTTATTTATATTAATCTTAAATTTTAGTGAGCATATAAAAGAAGTAGCTATATATATATTTTCAAAAACATATTTTGAGATTTTAAACTCTTTCTATGTGTTCATGATTGCGTTTCACAATTTTCCATATTATATTACTTTCTCACTTTTTGGTCCAGACCCACACATGTTACTTAATTTGTGTACAACACGAGTAGAACTGGTAGTTTGGAATACAAAAATATCGAAAAGTGTGAGCTGAGTGCAAGATAGGAAGTTTTAGTTCTCCTCATACAGACCTATTCTCTTGAAATACTTCAAAATTTTAGATTATATTTTACATTTTTCAATATTTGATGCAAAATTTTACAGGATGACATTGATGTAAACCAAATAGATCCTTTAAAAAAATCGGATTCAACTGAATTTATATTTGATGAATATCAAGCAGAATTTGCACAAAATGTGAGTATGAACAAATTTTTTTATAATTTATTATGCACAACAAAATATAGTTAAGTAAAGCTATAAAACAGAATATAAAAATGGTGTCGGAAAATTTTAATGTAATTTTATGTTATTTTAAATGTTAAATGTTCTTAATTCACAAGTACTAAAATTATAATTAAAAAATTAAGTGCGATAATTTATTATTTTATAATTTTTATTTTTTTTTTCTAAAAATTTTTACATTTTAACAAGAGATTAAAACGCAAACAAAGTATATTAAGGGCGAAAAATTTAGGTAACAATAATTCGTTAAGAGAAGCTGCAGTACTTTCTGCTAATAGTACTACAAAAACTAGTAATCCTGAAAAATTGGAAGCTGAAAAACAAGAGCGAGAAAGAGAAAATCAAAAAAATAATGATGAAAATTTTGATAGTTTAAGTGAAGAACAAGTTGCGGGCGGAGGAGGAGGAGGTGGTGGCGGTGGTTTACCTGGATTAATAGCAAGTTTAAGTGGGGTATGTTAATCAAATTTTATATTATTCTAATGTATAGAATTTAGTCTAGCTATAACAGACCGCAAAGTTTTGCTATCTATACAATCGGATTTACTTAAAATAATTGAAGGGGTTATATGACATTTTTACTTAAAATTTAATCTTCAACAAACTAATTACAGAAAAATTATTAAAACCAAAACGTAAAAATTAATTTTTTCTGAAAAATTAAATGTTGCTCAACTCCTTCAATTATATTAATGTTATACTAGATTGATATGAATTTTAGCATTTGATAATTTTTTTTTAATTTCCAAACAAATTTACAAGGGAGAAGAAGGATCTGATATTGGCGCTCTATTAGGTGCTATAACAGGATTAGTATCTCAACTTTTTGGCGTAAGTAAAAATTTTATTTTTTGAACGATGTTCAATAATTTCATCTAAAAAAAATAATAATTTCTATTAAGCCTGGTGGTCTGGATGTACCATCATTAATCAGTAGTGGAACATCTCTTGTGGCTGGTCTGTTGGGAGTAAGTTAACTTTTTATTTGCCACTTTAGTAACATTTAACTTTAATTGTCCATTATCTCAATCTGACATCTCTTAATTGCAGGGAGGTAAAAATTTTGGAACAGTTTTAGGTGAATATATTGGATTAGCGTTGGATGGATTTTCAGGCGGAGGTGGTGCCGTAAGTTATTTTGTTTTTATTTTAAAGCCCAATATCACACATTATAGCTATAACCACAAAATTTTATTTTTTCGCAGGATTTAAATGGAAAATTTCTTGGAAATTTAATTGGAACAACAATAGCCGAATTGAGCGCAGTAGTTATCCAAAAAAGAATTAATCATAGAAAAATTATATCTGTGTGTAATTGTGTTTGTGTTTAGTTTGCACTTATTTTGAACGAGTTTATTATGGTTTTTATTAAAAAATAGTTTATCATTTATTTGATTATAATATTTATGTGATTTTGTTTTGTGATTTTCCTTATGTTTGATTACGATTGTTTGAAGAAAAAGGAACATGGGTTTCTGTTAAATTTTGTAATGGTTACTTTAAATTTATTTTGTTTTTTATTGCAGTTTCTGAAATATTGATTTTGTTTACTTTAGTCTTTATTGTATTTAGAGAATTCAATTAGTACTTAGCAATAATGCACACATTTTTTCGAATAATATTGGCCATTATAAGATTTTAATGCAATTTCATTTTGTTTTGCAACGTTGATTAAATTTTATATAAAATGACTATTTTATTTTTATGACGTGTCAGTCGTAATTTTAATGATCTTAAATTAAGATTAATTTCTCCAGAGGAAAGTAAAAATTTTAGCTATAATTAACTAAAATTGACTTTTCATGACAAACCTCAAACTACAATTTAAGTAAGACCTGTTTTGCTGCTATTGCTAAGCGCATGGGTTTAAAAAGTTTGTTTTTTCCTAATCTACGCTATGTCGTATCACGCAGCGTTATAATCACTAGTTGATCGTTAAGTCAATCATCTATACCAATTTTGACAACAATCACATATTAGTGTACTTATTTCGCACTCATTTTCAATGTGCAATATTCTCGATTATTACATTAACTTTAAAACACTAAAATGTACTTTGTTATCATAAAAAAAAAAGAAAACAGAAAACATAATTAAATTCTCATCAGAATGCCACCTATATGACAACAATTATTATGCTTGCTATTAAAAGTATCAGTAATAATATTCACATATAATAATCTGGTTGTTTTAAAGTCCAATATGACCTCGATCTACTTAATAAAAATAATTTAATCATTTTTTAACCATAGTTAATATGCGAGTAAGTATTAACTAAGTTATATTATATACAAGGTTAGTAAAAATGTTATATAATATATGAATATACCAATATGTATAATCAATAAGCCCAAAATAATTATGTATATACATATTATGTGTACATAAATATTTTGATCTTTGTTTGAAATTCTATTTAATTTATAATTATTAGTGTACTAACTAGAATTTTTAATATTTAAATGTACATACATACGGGTACATATGTATAGAGATTTTCATTGAAATTATAATTAATAAGAAAAAGAATAAAATGAAAATTCTTAACTAAATAAATTCTAATTAAAAGCGTAAATTAATGAATACTAAAACTAAATGGTTTATGCTAACTCCTTGATTATTAACTAATATTTTAGTATATCAATTTAGTAGCAAAATTATAGTTATTTATTTGACTAATTTTGTACATTAAGGCACTCATAAAAATCACTTAATCACTTTTACATTAAGCTATAGTAATCAACTGCATATCCGTTTCAATATTATGCTGGTCTAGTTTTAATATAAAAATTTAATATTATTTTATTTTGCAGACATTACCTTTAATTAAGAATTTATTATTTATTTTATTAAATGTTCATTATTATATTTAATATTGTAGGATCCAGATAATGAAGATGGACCACCAAAACCAGGACTTTTTATTAGACATTTTGTAAGAAATTTTATGAAAGCTAAAAATAGAATGCCAAGTGATTCGAGTGAAGAAAATGATAATGGAAATGATAATGGTGGTACAAACGGTGGTCAAAATCATTCAAAAAATTCTGATTCATTTAGTTTTTTAAAGCATATTGTTAGCGCTATTGCTGGTGGTATTACAAGTTTTATATTAAATGCATCATTAGGTTCATCAAGTGGTTCATCAAAAGGTTCAGCATCATTATCAAGTACTTCATCGAATAGTTCAAGTGATTTAGCTCATAAACATCATCATTAAAATTATTAATAATATTGTTTTAACATTTTTTTTTTCTATTATAAATGATAAAAGCAAAAATGTTTGTGCATTATGTCAGAAATTTTAATAAAAATTTAATTTTTTATAAAAATACATACATATATGTTTTATAATATAAATTTATTTTTATATTAATAATAAGACCAATAAAACGTTAAATGCTTAATCATGAAAAACATTTTAGGCCTATTACTATAATATGAGTGCTGTCATGTCAATTATACGTACTACAGTTTTGTTGACATTATGTTTTGAACAGAAAAATAAAAAGAGAGAGAGAGAGAGAGAGAGAGAGAGAGAGAGCGACGAGCTTTAGGTGCAAACTGCAAACGCTTTTTAGGTTGACGTAATTTATGACGTTTTGATATGAGTGTACTGATTTCATATGCTTTTTTGGTTTGGTTAATATTAAACCACAGAAGTGAAAGTCAAAGTGGACTCAAAATAACTAGTATGATATTATAATATTATGATGCACTTATACATATAAGTATATATAATATAATAAGTTCAATTTTGAAATATTTAAAAAAATTTCCAATTCATTCGAAATTTCGGATAATAAATTGCTGTTTTGTTTTTATTATTATTTTGTTCGATTTGTGGTGTCGTATTTATACAAATGGTAAAAATGATGAGCTGTTAAAAAATATAACGTAAATTATAAGTATGACTGACTTTAACCTCGGCGCTAGACAAAACTATAGTGCGTAATTTTTTCGTCAATTAAACAATGAACCATTAAAGAGCTGTTATCCTTCTGCCGGTGCAATTTTCTTGCAATAAACGTGAGCACCAAATAATTACAGAATGTTGACTTGTACTTGTACACAATATTCTCAATTACTTTCTATTCATCGTTACCTAAAATAATAATTTTTAATAATTTTAAAAACGAAAGCATTAAAATTTTTATTTCAAGGATTACATGTAAAAGCCACGTACCGGTGAATAAATAAAAATAAAAATTTTTACTTTCTGTTTTTGTTTTGAACGTCCTATATTATTTCCTTATACCTGCATTCACATACTCAACAGGTAATTTTTTTAATTTTCAATATTAATCCGATCATATTGTGGTATATTTTTTTTTTGGGTGTGTGGTTTACAATATGCTATTGTATCTTGTTAAAAAAATAAAAAAATTACTTTTTATTACACATAATATTTCTGGGGTCAAATTGACAACTATTTGTTTCAGTTTTTTTTGGCAGGTGTGATTGCTTGATTTTTAATCATTACATTGCAGAATAAAAACAAGTTTTCGGTAGGATAATATTAAAATGGGTAATTGGAGCATAATTTTTTATAATGTTAAATATTTTAGTATATGTATGTAAATTCAAAAAATCGATAAAGGGAAAACCATTTCCGTACATAGTATTATGTAATACGTAACTTAAAATTTTTAAACCTTGAAAGTTTTAAATTGCATTCAAGAATTACCAGATGCGATTATGTACCCAAAAGAAAAAATATGTGATTGTGTCAAATTTTAAATTTTTATATAAATAATATAATTTACGTATTGTTAAACGGTGTACATGGAAATTTTCGTATTTTATAAAGTTTTAGAGAAAAAATCTTAAATATGGAAAATTTTTTCTGAAGACTTATTAAGTTGTCCATCTTTGTTAATTTAAGTAAAAACTTTAATGCAATTAAAATTCACTACAATTTCACTTCTATAGAACGCATTATTTAAGCAGAACAATCCATATGTCAATTGTTTTAAATTTCAGCTTTTAACTATTTCCTTGTGATTTAAGAGCAACAAAGGTCATATGAATGTGACAATTGTGAACAATAAGAAGCTGAAAGCCCGTGTGAAATGTAGCAAGAAAAATGTTTTAGAAGAATCTTTTTAATGTAGAGTTTTTTTTTCAAAATAGTTTTCCTTAAAGAACTCGCTAAAGAATGAATTATTTTACTCTATATTGACCGAGTTATTATATTGAATTAACAGAAAATAATTCTTCTGTTAAAAAATGAAAAGAACATTATACTTCGTTAGTGACAAAATAAAAATAATAAGAAGAAAATTTTTTCGAAAAATAAGAAGAAAATTTTTTCGAAAAAATTAAATTTTTTTCGTAATCTACAAAATAAATTGATCATTATTACACAATATTGTTTACTTTATACTCTTTCAAACAATGCACCTGAATAAAAGTAATTTCATGCATTCTATTTATTTTTACTCACTTCATTCTATTTATATAGATGTATGTAGTATACCATCTATAAATGTAATTATGTAATTCTATTGTTAAAATGCCACGATTTCTTTTCTATTCTTTAATTTTCGATAAATTTACTAAATTTTTATATTAGATATATAAAATCATACTGACCATTATATAAGTACATATTTTATAATAAAAATATTTACACCTGTAACAAATTTAATTTTAATTCTATTGTTTTCCATATAACTACCAAACTATATATTCTCAACTTTGACATAAAGTGATTTAATTTAAGAACTGAACCATTTCAAATAATTTACCCTATTGTTTGTTTAAAATTTAATATATTTGAAATATACAATAACCGATACCATTTTTTTTTGTATGTTTTCGGCAACAAGTATGCGCAGGCATTGCCGTTTGGGTTCAACAACTTTTAATGTCAAATCATTTACAATATTTTATGCTTCATTAAATTTTGGTTTCCTTAAAAAACACCATAATATAATAAAATTATTTAAGCTCCCAATTTTTTCCTATTCTTGTTTTCTTTTTGCTGAAAAATAAATTTTTCAATTGAAATTAGTCATAGTTTTGAAGTGAGAACAAGTGATTTTTATTTTGTGTATTAAAGATGTGGATTTTTTCTGTGTAATAATTTAGCGATTACATAAATTTTTATGCTTGCATACCAAAAAAAAATTATGGAAATCAGTTTATTTTAAATTAATATTAAAAAAAAAAATAAAAATTTACAACTAAACATAATATTGTTAACTAATATTCAATTTTGTATAATAATATTTGGATTAAAATGACAAAAAGAGAAAAATTTCATTTTAGCAACGGAAATGCTTGTCTTTTTCAATTTGTTGCAGATTTTTGCAATGGTTTATTTTTTTAACAAAAAAAAAATTATTTTAACTATTATGCAATTTGGCTTTTGAATATAAGAGAATTATTCATAATTTAGTAATTATTAATTATAAGTTAATAATACCTGTATAATACCTGTATTATGACGACAAATTATTTTTATTCTTAAATAAAATTTTAATTTTGAATGATTGTAAATTGAAAAATGCATTCGATTTAAATGAGAGCCGTATGCTTACATTTTTTTTTTGACGAAAGCTATACTGTATTTTAATATTTGTTTTAAAATGAATTGCACTCTCATCTAAAACAATAATAATCTTGAACTGAAACAATTTAGGGTCTCCATTCCTTCCCATGTGGAAAACGAATAATCTCCTGGGGCTTAGAAGAAGACTCGTCATCATATAATTGGTTCTACCTCTATAAAGTTATTGTCAGCTCAGCTATACATAAAAAATCGAATTTATAACAGGCCAATTTTGCAGAAATCACTGGATGTACACTATTGGTCAATAACCGACTCTTACATAACCAAATGATTGAGACTTTGTATTTATGTGTGACGTAAAAGGTTTCTACCATCACACGTCTGACTTTTCTCTTATAATTTTTAGGATATTGCAAGAGAACTTTTTGACTGCTTGTTGAACAACGCCGCTCTTAAAATTTAATTTTATCAAAATAGATATACAAACTTTCTATAATTATGCACTTTTCATTTTCTAAAATTGTGATATTGATTCTAATTATACGTAGCAAAATACATTTATTGTGCTTCCGAAAAAAATAAAAAATTATACAAATTCAAACAAAAGTTCCTCCTTTAAGTTTTTCATATTTCTCAATATTATAACACTAATAATTATCAATATTATCACGAACTCAGTTAAACAAAAAAAATTAATATTAATCATTAATTAAAATAAGTATAACCTCACCTACTTTGCATATTTAAAAAAAAAATGACAAACTTTGGATTTTTTGGTTTTTAATTTAATTAATAACAAGAAAAAATAATAAATTTAAAGAAAAGATGGCAAAAATATTAGCATAACCTAAATATGCATCTGTCACAAAATATACAAAAGCAAAAAATTCAAAAAACAGTAAGTATTCAAAAATATTTTTCTACATTGTATAATTATGTCTGAATAACATTGTGAATGATTTTGTTATTTTTTAAAACAACATATTAAAATTAATACAAAAATGCAACACAATAATGACGAAGATAACGACAACGACGACGACGACGACGACGACAACAAAAAACGTTTTTATTATTAACGCAGCCTTGTCACGTATTTTGTAAAAAAAAAAATAACAAAAATTAATTCACTACTTTTCAATCAGATGCAAAACCACAAACTTTATGAAAACCAAAAGAAAAAAAAATTAAAAAAATAATATTGCACCCGCTGAACTTTTTCTGCTCATAAAAGATTTTATAAAAGGAAACAAGTAATTTTAATATGTAAATGTGGGCTTACTGTGAAAAACTTCAAGATTATTTTTGTCATTAAAATTCAAATTTTAATTATAATTTAAATTTTAAGTTAAACTACAATTAATTAAATTATACTTAAGACTATTAAGTATAATTTAATTAATTGTAATTATAAAATATTAAAATATAAAATTTTTATGTTTTCAATGAAAATTTTTAAATTAAGTAATTAGATTTTTTTTTATTTAAAAAGAAACCGGTGCTATTTACTTAATGCTAGAGTACCAATTATTATTACAAGAACATATATTAAGATTTCTAAGATTTTTAAAAATTTACTTCTAATTTTTTTTTCCTAAATGAAAGGTACTCTTAGTTTAGTTTAATAAGGTGGAATACATTAATTTGAAGGCGAATTGTATAATTACCTTTAATGTTTTCTAAAGGTATGATTATTATAAAAC